GAGCCAGGATTTGAACCTCCATCTCTGTACCTTCTCTCGGGGCCTCAGTTTCCTTTCCTGTCAGGGGCAGGGGTAAGCCTAGGTGATCTCTGAGCTCCGGCCCAGCTACAGAAAGGAAAGGACATGTTTGCATAAACATGCTCCGTGCCCACGCATCTGGAAATGCTCACATGCAACACAGAGGCCCGCCCCTCACCAAGAATGCAGAGGCAGCGCCTGCTGACAGCCCAGCTGACCACCTGCCTGTCACTCCTCCTGTCCCTTAGGCATGGCCGTGGTTAGGAGGAAAACCAGTGCCTGGCCTGCCCAGGCCCTTCATCCTCACCGGGAAGGCCTCCGGGTGGACAGGGCATCTCTGCTCTCCTCACTCCCCACATGGCCCCTCCGTGACTTCTCTTTGCCTGGACAACCTCTTCTTTCCCTGAGAAGCCTTTTTCTCCTCCCCACCTTATTCCAGCCTCTCCTGCCTCCCAGATGAAAGAAACCAGCTGTGATCCAGTATTCCCAAGGTCACAGACAGAGGGACTCAGGGACAGAGGGACTCCCAACTTCAGCTCCTTCACTCCTGAGTCCCCTCCAGAAGGCACCCGGCCTGGACTGAACATCCTCGGCAGAGAGAGTATGACTCACCGTCCCTCTCCCTGCATCCATTCTCACAGAATCCTCCTTACCAACCCTGTGAGCAGGTGCCACCCTCCCATTGGACAAGCATAGGCAATCCAGTTCTGAACAGCCACCGTGAGGCCACGACCTCACAGCCCTCAGCGGAGGCATCAGGATTCAGACCCAGCATCGTGTGGCTTGAGGCCCACACATTCTTCCCACACACCAGGCACACTAAACACGCCAGTTCACGTTTCCAAGGGCAGTTGGAATTGCTAGAAAGAGGACAAACCTCAGTCCTCCTCCATGGGCTCTCCTTGCTCATCTACAAGGCTGGGGCAGGACACTGGATGCCCTCAACATCACCGTCACCCTGGTTCGGGATGGAGCCAGCCTGCCCTTCCCCTGGCCTTGGACTTGGGACTCACTGGACCAGGGTTCCTCAAACTTTTTAAAGTGGGGGCCAGATCACGGTCCCTCAGAGAGCTGAAGGGCCGGACTATATGAACTACTAATTCCTACTGTAACACCTCGGCTGCGCTCACTGCCCAAAAAACCTGGAGGGCCGGATCAGACTCCTCTGTGGGCCGCATGTGGCCCGCGGGCCGTAGTTTGAAGACGCCTGCGACTGGACACTGGGAATCCTGGATCCAATCACTGAGCCCAAGGCCTGTGTCTGCCCTGGGAGGAGAGGAGGGAAGGGCTAGCCCTGCCCCCAGGGCCTCTGGCATCAGAGAGGGTTGGGTAATCCTGGCAGCTTTCTCTGCCAACAGAATCCCAGAGCGGACTTTCCAAGAACCCCGACAGAGAGAGAAGGTGAGAGAGAAGGAGAACACATATCCCAGGATGCCCTGCATCAGGGCCCTGAATTCTCAGGCAGTGAGGAGGATATAGCGGCTTCCTTCTCACAGTCCCTGAGGCCCCCCGCTGGGGGCAGTGGAAGGGGGGGGGGAACCAGAGGAGAGCCACCCAACAGGGGGCAGCATATGGCCAAATATGCGCATGTGGAAGTGGGAGGGGCTCCACCCAGCCCTAACGCAGCCGCCTTATCATCCCAGAACATGCGTGCAGCATCTTGGATGGCCAGGCCAGGCCTCCCCACCAGCGAGCTACAGGCAGGTGGCAGGTGGGCCCAGACGCAGACCTCTCTGCTGGCAGGGCAGCCTGTCGGGGGCTCGCCATCGCTGAGCTCCGAGCTGCTCTGCTCATCCCAGTATGCCAACAACACTGCCATCATCTGAGCGCCCCGGTGGGGAAAGGCTGGGGAGCACTGCTTTAAGTTCACGCCTTCTTCCTCCAGAAAGAAAATGCAAGGTCAGGAGCAGAAGTGACCTGCCTGAGCCCTTCCACTGATTTGTAGCAGAGAATGCCCTGGGCCACCCAGCCTCCTCTCTGTGGAGCCCACCCTGGCCCGCTTGGTTTCTGGCTGGCCAGGCCAGGGCCACCTCACCCAGCGATGCATCCAAGTCTCCCCACACAGAGGCACCCATGCACCAGCCCTGGGGCTGCAGTGGGTGGAGCAGCGTCGGGGAGGGGGGGGGGAGGTGAGGAAGGAGCCGTTCCAGACCCTGAAGCCCTGCCCCGCTGCCGGAGCAGTCCCCAGAGCCCAAGTATCCAGGGCAGCGGGCGAAGGCAGCTGATTCATGGAGCTGCAGACCTAGTCATTTCCTCATTTATCTTGTCAACACCCTTGTCCCACAGAGTGTCAAGTCCATTACGTAAAGATTTTCTGCTAAGGAGATACTTAATGTGAGCCCGGGGCGCAGCAGGGGCCGGGCCGAAAGGAGGACGTCTGACCTTCAACCCCCAGGGAGTAAGCCGAAGCTACTTCTTTACTGGAGTGAGACCCAATGGCTCCCACCCACGTGCAGTACTCAGCTGGTGCCTGAGCTACTGTAGAGAGGGGAGTGGGTTTGCCAGGGCATTCCCACAGAGCATCCCCACCAGGGCATCCACAAGCTAAGGACATCTTCCGTCTACAACTGTGCCCCTGAGCACTGTCTCAGAGGAGTGGTCCAAGGTGGATTTCTACCCAAAATGAACCAGAAAACGTAAGAATCAGAATGTGTGCTGGGAGAGACCTCGGTCAAGCCCTCACCCAGGGCAGCCACGTGGACGGGCAAGGCCTGTAGCTGACCACAGTGCCCACAGCCACAGGCAGCCAGACAACAACCTGCTGAGTCCCACACCTCTGCCCTTCCCCCACCGGGGGCTTTGATGGTGACAGCCCAGCCAGGGAGCTCAACGCACAGCCACCTTTGCAGACTCCGTGCCATTCACCAACGCCAGGCCCTGGGGCACGTCCAAACGGTCACTCTTTGGCCAGTGCCTGCCTTCTCACGGGTGTCATGGCTTCTCTCACCAGGCACATGCATAATGTTCCGTCTCCATCCCTGACATATGCATTCCCAACAGGAGAGGATGGGGTCACCCTCACGGAAACAAAAAATTAGTTCTTGGTTTGGCAAAAATAAACAGACATTGCTGTGGTTTGTGGCCCTCCAAAACTCAGCCCTGCCTGAGTTGGCACTTGCTATGGACTAAATTGTGCCCCTCAAAGAGCAGTAACCCCCAATGTGACTGTGTTGGAGAGAGGCTTTTGGGCAGTAAAGGTTGAATAAGATTATCAAGGTGAGGTTATAATCTGAGAGGACTGTCGCCTTTTAACAAGATCTACCCCTCCCCCCCCTCTCTTTTTCCCTCTCACCCCAACTACTCTCCTGTCCCACCCCACCCTGTGAGACACAGTGAGAAGGTGGCCATCACAAGTCAAAGAGAGAGCGCTCACCAGAAACCAAGCCCTGCCCAACCTTGGTCTTGAACTTCCACCCCCCCAGTGCTGTAAGATAACACATTCATATTGTCAAAGCCGCTCAGTCCACACTATTTTGTGATGGCAGCCCAAGCAGACTAAGTATGTCCCCAGTTAGAGAGAATGAATTTTTCTCCGTAGGGGGTTAATAATGGAGAAAACATTATTTGAGCAACATTGTCCATTTGAAAGGAAGGACTTGGGGGCTCACTAGTCTTTGGTGTCACCGTTTGGAGCACTGCTTCTCAACCGGCAGCACATGTGTCCCAGGCCATGTCTGGAGATATTTGCGGTTGTCACTCTTGGGGAGGGGGTGCTCTGGCATCCCTTAGCAGAGGCCAGGGATGCTGCTCACCATCCTCAATGCACAGGGTGGGTTCCTCCCACACGATCTACCCAGGCCCAAGTACCAACATCGGTGCTGGAGAGGAACCCTGGCTTAGAGCAAAGACACCCCGGAAGGCTTCAAATCCTGCCACAAAACCAGCTGGGAAACAGGGGTTCGGGCACAGGATCCCAGGGAGCAAGCCCACCCAGCCACCTTCTAGCACCAGGAGACTCCAGGAGAGCTCACCCCAGCCCCACTGAGCAGTTCCAAGATGGGAAGCCACCCCCGTCCTCTGGTGCCCAAGCAGGGGCAGACTGTCCGGGCCCACTGGGCCCCCAGATGGCAGAAGGAACAACAAGAAGAAAGGACCAGCCGAGACCTGTTTGGCTCAGTGGACAGAGCATCAGCCTACGGACTGAAAGGTCCCAGGTTCGATTCCGGTCAAGGGCATGTACCTTGGTTGCAGGCACATCCCCAGTTGGGGGTATGCAGGAGGCAGCTGATAGATGATTCTCACTCATCGATGTTTCTAACTCTCTATCCCTCTCTCTTCCTCTCTGTAAAAAAATCAATAAAATATATTTTAAAAAGAAGAAGAAAGGACCAAAAAGTTCATCAGGTTCCTACACGTGTCCTTGGGGGGATGGGGGGAGCTCACTATGTGGGAGCAAAGCTGGAGTTTCACCTGGTCCTCCTCCCTCGTGGGGCTCAGAGGCCCCCCAGTGGGGTGCAAGGAGCAGAGCCCTCATTGGGGGAGGGAAACCCACAGCAGAACGGATAGCAGTGACACCAATGCCAACCACCACGGCCAACGCTTCCTGAAGGCTCACCCAGCGGCACGCTGAGCCCTTAATTACCACTGGCTCGTTCAGACCTCGCACCTGTCTTCAAGGTTAGTAGTAGCCCAGCTGAGGAAGCAGAGGCACAAAGAGCTTGAACAGTGAGAACAAAAGAGCTGGGAAACTGGAAAGAGGGACCCCCAGGTGAGGAAGAGGAGAGTGACAGCAGGTTTCCTATCCGAGGCTTGCTGCCTGGCCGGCTCGAGCAAGGCGGTTCCCGTAAGCGCTTTACTGCCGCACAGCCCGGGGCAGGCGTGCTGCCTCCTGTTCCCAGAGGAGGATCTACCTGTCTGATGCTCAGTGCCCGTCGGGGGCTCGCCGGTGCTACCGGCCAGGGCCCCGAGCCAGCCCAGGCCGCTACCTGCCGCCCCTGGACCAGACGAGAGCCGGGAGGCCCCGGCACTAGCCCGCTGCTCACCTGAGAAGATGGAGGCGAGCCTGAAGATGTCGGAGAGGCGGGAGGTCACCGGCTCGTAGGGCGAGGCTTCGTAGAACTCCTCCCCTGGAATAGAGAGCATCACAGTCAGGCACAGGGGCCCCCGCTGACAGGGAAGGGGAGGTCGTGAGTAGAAAGCTGGAATGTCACAGGGACCAGGGATTTCCTCCAGCCAGAGGGGACACCCCCAGAGCAGGTCAGGCTGCCTAACTCTCCCTCGTGCCCCGGCATGACCTGCCCACCTCTAAGGACTTCTGAATGCTCTGGAAAGAAGGCCTGGGAAGTTGGGACCGTGACCGCCTGGGGAAGGCCAGGTGGAGGTGGCCCAGAGAGGTGAGGCAACCTGCCTGCCATCACACAGCTCCCTCCTTGCAGCAGCTGCACTGCCGTCTCCCAGCCCTCCCACCAGCATCCTCTCCCCTCGCACCTCTACTTTCCACCGTGATGCCGAGAACCTGGCTAGAGAGCCCAAGGTCTGCTGCACGGAAGCCTGGCTCCAGCTCCTCTTGGCTTGACCCCCTCCTAGGCTCCCTACATATCTGTGCCCCCGCCCCCTCCACCTGCTGGCTTCTCGGACCTTCGGGTGCATCAGAAGCTCATCGAAAGGCAAGGCAAGGGAGTGACAGGAAATAAGGGACACAGGGCTCCCCTAAATACCCCCTACCACGTTATCAGACCCCACCCCCTCTGCCACTGCCCTGACGGGAAGGACACAGCCTCTGGAGACGTTATGGTGAGAAGAAAGCCATGAATAATCACTAGGGCAGGGGCTGTTCGTGTGAGTGGAGGGGCAGGGAGACAGTGATGACCCACCCAGCCTCGCACAGTGAGCTCCCACCCACCCAGAGCCCTGGGCTACGGACAGGCACCTCCTTCCTCAGGGTACCCCGTGTGGGCGGCATCCATGGGGACCTCCTGCAGGAAGGTGCCTGCCATCCAAACGTGGGAATCCAGCCCATGAGGTCACCCTGAGGTCAGGACTAGGGGCGTAGCCAGCGCCCCGCTGGCACACGGAACAAAGCCTCTTGTGTGCTATACTGCAGACTCCAGAAAAGGGGGCCCACCATGGACAACACCGGAAGTGCGTTCCCCCTGGAGAGATGGCCCCACCCTTCACTTCACCTCGTGGGACACCTGATTCTGCTTCAGTCTGACTGCCAGGACTCTGCACCTTCAGCACACAAACGTTACTTGTCCCCTAAGGCCTGTCTCCAGCCGCACCTTCCCCCTGGGCCTGTGTGGTCTGTGCCCTCCTCTCTACCCACCAGCCCTGGAGAAGCTCCCTGTGGGGGGGCCGGCGGCCAGTGCTCACTGCTGAGGCCAAATAACGTAAGATTGTAAGAAGGGCTTTGTAAGGAAAATGACGTTAGTGTTACCCTGTGCTTCCCACGTGCCAGTCCTACTGAAAGTTGCTGTGCTAACTCATTCAATCCTCTTAAGTTTATCTGTGGGGCAGGCACCGTCAGTCTCCCTGTTGTACAAGGATAGGGACCAGGGCACAGAGATGGTAAGTAACTTGCCGAAGGCCAGACAGCTGTGAGGTGGCAGAGTCAAACTTCAAACCCAAGCAGTTGGTGACAGGGTCCACGTATTGAATCATTATGAACACTGTCTCCAAAAACGAAGTGTTATTGAAACCAAGCTGTTCTTAAACAAGATCCGTCTCCCGCCAGCTGGCCGGCTCGCCCGGACAGGGCCTGTCCCTCATGGCTGCATGGGGTGCAGCACCATGCCTGGGCACAGCTGAGCCAGGAGGATTGGCTGGGAAGGTCTCCGGGGGGAAGTGGGGAGGAAATGGCCTATTCCCAGGACTGGCCGGAGGAGTCCATTCTTCTAGACCAGTGGTCAGCAAACTCATTAGTCAACAGAGCCAAATACCAACAGTACAATGATTGAAATTTCTTTTGAGAGCCTAAGTTTTTAAACTTAAACATCTTCTAACGCCACTTCTTCAAAACAGAATCTCCTAGGCCGTGGTATTTTGTGGAAGAGCCACACTCAAGGGACCAAAGAGCCGCAGGTGGCTAGTGAGCTGCAGTTTGCCAACCATGGTTCTAGGGCAACAGAATTCACTGGTGGAAACCCGAGTCCTGGCAGTCAGACTGAAGCAGAATCAGGGCATTAGGTTGCTGGGTGTGACCTGGGAGGACCGTGGGAGAGGCCTCTGCTGCTCACATCTGAAGGACCAGGCTGGCCCTGAACTTCACTGTCACCTTTGAAAAGGCAAGAAGTCCAACAGCAACAGCTTTACCCTGTAAATACCAGAGGTGGTGATGGTGGTGGTCATGGTGGTGATGATGGTGATGGTGATGGTGGTGGTGATGGCAGTGGTGGTGGTGGTAGTGGTGATGGCAGTGGTGGTGGTGGTAATGGAGATGGCAGTGGTGGTGGTGGTAGTGATGGTAATGGCGGTGGTGATGGCAGTGGTGGTGGTGGTGGTGATGGTGGAGGTGATGGCAGTGGTGTTGGTGGTGATGGCGGTGATGGTGATGATGGCAGTCGTGATGATAGTGGTGGTGGTGGTTGTCATGGTGGTGGTGGTGATGGTGGTGTTGATGGCGGTGTTGGTGATGGTGGTGGTAATGGCAGTGGTGGTGGTGGTAGTGGTGATGGCAGTGGTGGTGGTGGTAATGGAGATGGCAGTGGTGGTGGTGGTAGTGATGGTAATGGCGGTGGTGATGGTGGTGGTGATGGCAATGGTGTTGGTGTTGATGGCGGTGTTGGTGATGGTGGCAGTGGTGGTGATGGTGGTGTTGATGGCGGTGTTGGTGATGGTGGCGGTGGTGGTGATGGTGGTGGTGGTAGTGATGGTAATGGCGGTGGTGATGGTGGTGGTGATGGCAGTGGTGTTGGTGTTGATGGCGGTGTTGGTGATGGTGGCGGTGGTGGTGATGGCAGTGGTGATGATAGTGGTGGCGGTGGTTGTCATGGTGGTGGTGGTGATGGTGGTGTTGATGGCGGTGTTGGTGATGGTGGCGGTGGTGGTGATGGTGGTGGTGGTAGTGATGGTAATGGCGGTGGTGATGGTGGTGGTGATGGCAGTGGTGTTGGTGTTGATGGCGGTGTTGGTGATGGTGGCGGTGGTGGTGGTGTTGGTGGTGGTAGTGATGGGAAGGAGGACAGGCCCAAGGCCACAGGACCTCCCGGGCACTGCAAAGGGGCTGCATAAGGAGTCAGGCCTGCCCCTCCTCTAGCTGGCTGTGTGCCCCGGGTACACCTCTCCTCCCTGCACATCAGCTTCCCCACCAAAACGGTTGTGGGGCTGAATCTCCCTTGAGGATGGAACTCTCTAAACAGGGGTGGGGAACGTCCGGCCCATGGGCCGTGTAAGACCAGATAAACCCTTTAGGCTGGCCCTGGTTTAAAACATTCAATCAACTCACCAAGGCCTTAGGGGGGAGTTGATTAAATGTTCGACCAAATATAGCAGGCTGATGTGCGAGCTGATAATGTGCATGGCCTGCGAATGATGTTAAAAATATCCCACCGGCCCTTGGCAGGAAAAGGTCCCCACTCCCGCTCTAGGAGCTCAGCAGGGGCCACATTCCGGCCACCACCACTGGGGGAGGACCTGGGCCTCCAGCAGAGGGAGAAGGAGGGGCCAAGTCTCCAGGGAACTCTCACCCCCAGCAGGGGCCAAGGAGAAGACAAGAACCCGAGTCCAGACCTGCACAGGCCTCTCCCCTCTCAATCCGCCCACCCACCCCAGGGACCGGGCCAGGTTAGTCAATGTTATCAGCAACAGGGAGGAGGTACTCAGGGGACCACTTCCCCCCCACCATGAATAATTAACTGTCAGCTAGATCCTCTCATTCCTCTTGCTCACAGGAACATTACCAGCCCTTGAAAGCCCTCCAGGCTTCCCATGGTCAGCTCTCAGCAGAAACTACCTCTGGGCCCCAAGACCCGGAGTGGGGGGTGGGGGGGTAGATTATAGAATCCTGGGGGAGGAGAAGGGCGCTGGAGGGGACTAGGTTCTGAGGAATGAGACAAGCATGGGGAAGGGTCTTTTCTAGAGTGGGCCCAGGGGAAGGGTCTCTCAGCCCCTGGCATAGGGACCAGGCACAGGGACTGACTGTGGCTTCTGTCACCCTCTGAAGCACACAGTAGGCTCTTAACAGATGTTCACTGAATAAATAAACCATCAGCAGCTCAAGATTTGGAAGCGAGCTGTCTCCAGCCAGACATTCCTGGGTCAAAAGAACCTGGAAGACCACAGGGCAGTCTGCAATATGAACATGTGGCATGCTTACTGTTACCTCCAGACACCTCAGGGCCCAGCTCCCTCCCAGAGGGAGCCCCTCGCTGGGAAGGCCTTGGGCAGCCCACCTGGCTCTTCTGCGGGCAGTTCTGTCCCCTCCCCCGGGCGTCCTGCAGCACCCGCCCGAGCCACTGCCAGTCTCCCTGGGGTTGAACTGGAAGGCCGCTGGGAATTAAACAAGAAACTAAAGGACCCAGTCACCAAATCAGGGACCTTGGTCTTCTGTGCACTAGAGTAGGAAGCGGTTATGGGGTTAAGCCTCCACTGACCTGCTGACAAAGTCACAAGTCCCAGCTTGGAGGGCACAGACCTCTAAGCATAATGAAGCTTGATCTTGTAACTGCTCCCTACATCTCTCCTGGGAAGCTAGTGGGCTGTGGGAGGGGCAGCAAGTGCTGCCAAAACAAGTGAAACTTACAAGAACATTGTAAGTTACCTTGTTTGTCCCTGATTATAAGTGAAGCCTAAGCCTGCAGTTTGGCACAGAAGATCCACCCAGACTCAGCTTTTTCTCTTTGTCTATCATTTCTCCATCTTTCGTCGCCCCTGCTCAGGCTTGCCAAACCCTTGGCTGTGCTGGCATGAGTCCGCCTGGGGTCCAGACAGCCTCTGTCTCTCAGAGAGCACAGTGCGTCAGCCCCACTTCTAGTTCTAGAGCTCGAGGTTGCTAGAAATGGAGGAATGGCCACCTGATTCACAAGGAATCGCTCTGTGGTGAGTGGTGCTGGTGCTATTAATAATTACAGGCACAGCTTACCATTATATTTGGGGCAGCGTTGAACTACCTTGGCCACTGGTCAGGAACCCCTCGATATCCGGCCTCCATGCCTGATCTGTTTCCTTCTTCCTTCCAGCACCTGGACATGGATTGCTCCTCTGACCTAACTCTAACCCCTCCGAGGCTCTGGACCCACCCCTCCCCTTTCCCAGGCACTGTCCACAGAGCTCCCCTCTCTCCTTCACCTCGCATCTCCCTCACACTGCCCTGCCTTAGAATTTAAACTGCCCAACCTTCTTGCATCTTAAAAAAAATAAGTCGTCCTTTGTTCTTCTATCCTCTTCACACCAAAAGTCTGCTGGTCCACGTTCATCACCTGTAACTCCCAGCTCCCTCTCACTCCCTAACCAGGCGTGTGCTCCCAGCAGCCACCTAAGAAGCTCACCCCAGGCCCAGGGGTCCCTTTCCCGCCCGCTGGCTGCTGGACCTAACGTGCTGGAGGCTGGTGCGGTCCTCCTTCCGAGAGGGAGCTCCTCCCTGGTCTTCTGCTGCCCCTTGCCTATCCGCCTCCCACCACCCATCCCCCGCCTCCTCCATCACCCTCGCCTGCCCCCCTCCCTCCCCGCACATCTTGAAATGTTGCTGGTCCTCCCATGGAGATGGCACCCCCTCCCTTGGCCTGGTTCCCACCTACAGACTCATGGCGATTCCAAAATCTCTGCCACCTGAGCTCCGGCCCTGCACAGCCAGCTGTCCGCAGGGCATGGCCAAGGAGAGGCACACGTCCCCAAATATCCATCATCTCCCTGCCCTCCCCGCACTCAACACCTTCACTTCTTCTTGCCACCGGACCCCCCACCCACCAGTCTCCCAAGACAGAAACTGGGCGACCTCCTTGACTCTTCGCTCCCTTCCCGAACCCCTGTGGGTTTGGCCTCCTTCCTGCCCTGTCCTCGCTCGGCCACCATGACCCCGGGCCCGTGTCACACAGTGCCTTGCAGTCTCTCAGTCTGCGCTTCATGAAACCACGAGCGTCCTCCTGACGCAGAGCACAAGGGTGGTCTCACCAGCACAGTCCAGGCGCCCTGCTGCCCAGCAGAACGGTACCCTCCACCTCTCCTCACCGCACCCACTCCCCACGGTCCCCTCCGCATACTGTCACCTGTGGGTCCATACGCCCTTCAGCTCCCTCCCATGCCACCTTTGCCCAGCCCTCCCGGCACCTCCCACACTCTCCCATAGATCTTCATTCTGTAACTGCAGCTCACTCTTTAGTCTCAGCTGCGAGGCTGCCTCCTCCAGGAAGGCTCTCAAGGTTTGACAGCAAAAGGTTAGCTGCCTCTCCTCAGTACTCCCACAGCAACTGGGACTTCCCACAGCACTCACACCCCAAATGACAGAAAGCCCTCACTTTTCTGCATCTGCCCGTCCACAATGCCTACCGGGTGATAAGCTCTCAGAAAACAGTTGTTGGATTAATAAATGAACAACTGATCCAGGTGCCACCCTCCTGCAATATATGCAAATCCGCCTCTCTTCCGTCTGCCAGGGGAGGACATGGGGGAGGTAGACCTTGTGGGGGGGAGGCGGTGTTACAGATTCTACCTAGGGACTTGGGGGCAGGCCTACTGAGGAATATGGACCTGCTCCAAGCCCTGCAGAAGGTGTCTAAACCAGCCATGGGGTCAGGAGCCACTAAAGATGGAACTCCTAGGAGCAGGGAGAGCAGGAACGGGCAGCCCTCACTGGGTGCCCAGGCAGCGGGAGTGGCAGGAGCTGGTGTGCTCACAGCTCAGCTCTGTAAGCACACGGCCAGTCCGTCTCTCTGTCCTGTTCTCACTCCTCCGTTGCCTGAGACTCTTACCTCACCTTCTCCAGTGACCTCTTCAGACAGTCATAGGTCCTTCTGTCCCTGGTTTGTTCCCCGTCCCTTCACCCCTGCTCCAGCCTTGTTCTACGCCCACCACCCTGCCTTTTCTCCTCTTCAGCTCCCTCCGAGATCCAGAGGCTACATCTTCTGGGTTCATGTTTCCCCCAGCAAGGAGGGCTAAGGAGCTGGCCACTTACAGGCTCCATTACCCGGTCCTACCCCTAGACCTGGGCCCCCAGCCCCCTCACCACCCCCGCCACTCCCAGGCTTACCCTCGGTCAGCCCCAGGTGGATGCTCCAGTAGATCTGCAGGCACTGCAGCTCCTTCTTCATGCCCCGCTTGCAGCGGCAGTCATACAGCGGGCTCTCCTGCAGGACCTCCAGGGCCGCCTGGCACTCCTTGTTGGCCAGCATGGTGTTGCGGTCCCTGCCGGCCAGGCACTGCCGAAGCGTGCGGTAGCGGGAGCTGCAGTTGGACTCAGCGGCACACAGCTCATTGGCCCGGACACAGTCCACCGGGGGGCGCCAGCCGTGCAGCTCGGGGCCCTGCAGGGAGGAAGGGCTGGCCAAAGAGCGGAGGGTCTCGTCTGGGTGGTGGGGAGGGAAGACAAGCATGAGTGAGGCCACCACAGTCTCCCACACAAGATGCAGGGCTGAGGGCCGGCCAGGCCCCTCTGGAAGTCACACCCACTGACTCCGAAGCACATCAAGGCCCGCTCAACGCCACTCCCGGCAGAGCGGAGGCTGCTGGTCCTAAGTCACCAACATCCCTCCTCCAACCCCATGGAGAACTCAGCTGCCCTCTGCCCTGGCTCTGGAGGATCCTCCGCCAGCTCCACCCGGTCACCCTCAGCACTGGGCCAGCCAGAAGGCCAACGAATAATGTGACAGAGAGCCAGGGCTGCAGGGCCTGCTGGAGTGTGCAGAGGAGATCCCATTTGTACCCCCCAGGCCTCTTACCAGCTTCAGTTCCAGCCAGAGGCCCACCACAGCACTGGTTACGCCGTGTAAGCAGAGAAGGCAATTTAACTTTCATAGCCTGTTAGGACCTCTGACACCACAGAGTCCAGCCCCCAGATATTACCCTGGGGAAACTGAGACCCAGAAAAGGGAGATGACAACTGAAGGTCACACACAGGCTGAAAAGGCCCCCCTCGCCCAGCCTATTCATTCTGAGTTCTGTAATTGAAAATTAAAAAAAAAAAAAAAAAAAAAAAAGGCATTTTAAGAAGAGAGAAAGAGAATGGGAAACAGGACTGATCCTGAGCTCTAAGGTGTGTCCCTTTCCAGCCCAGCCTCCACTCACCCAGGCCACTTCACAGCTGCCAAGACCCGAAATGGTGCCTTCCCAGGACCATCTACACCCCAGCCCCTCCGAAAAATGCTCTACGCAAATCATTTCCTCTCTCTTTCTTCTATTTCTCTCTTTCCTCTCAAACCCTCTCCCCCTTTCTTTCAAAAACCCAAATGATCAGCCAAATGCAAAGGGGGAAGTAGGTCCCTCCTCGGCCCCCATCTCACAAGTGGAGCCCAGCTTCTGCAAAAGTGAACAGGCAGGAAGCTGAGGTCCCACTTCTATCCACAGCTCAGAGGGTCCACGCCCATAGTCCTTGGGAGAGAGGGCGTCAGGGAAGAAGATTTCGGAGGTGAAGGGCAGGAACCTTCAATATCCAGCGCCTAACATGGCTCCATCTACCACAGACATCCTGCTGGTCTCCCTGTCCTCCCTAAGCCCTGCACTCCAGATCCTGCTCCAGAAAAAGCCCATAGCGTGGCCCAGAGCCCAGACTGCCCTTTCCAAGATCCAAGCCGTGATCTGGGAGGCTTCCTCCAATTCCATCTGGCCACAAGACATAAGATGATCCTTGGCCAGAAATCCCCTCCTCAATATCCTGAAGAATCCCCCATCTCTACCCAGAACTGCCAGGTCTCACTCCCGCAGGAGGCCCGGCTCAGGGGGCAGCTACCGCAGGGAGACAGCGACACCTAGAGGCAGAGCGCTGCACTGGGAGCCGGTTCCTCCCGACAGAGCCTCGGAAGGGAGAGGAATCCACTCCTGGAGGGACCAGGCCTACCCACCAGCCCAGGAAGAGGAGCAGAGGGTGGGCCTGCAGCGGAGAAGGCCTCTAGGGCAAGAATGATAGGCATTTCCTCCGCCCACTGACCACACTTGTGCCTCAGGACAGGAAGAGCTGAAGGCTGAGACAGATGAGAGAAGAAAGCAGCATGGAGTGTTGGCTAGAGAGTGGGGCATCTGCTGTATTTCCTGGCCTCAGCAAAATGCCTAGATCCCTGAGCAGGACTCGGTGCATCTGGGCCACCCAGGAGCAGCTGAGCTGACCCAGCCTCACTTGCACCTGCTGCCCCCACCTAGCCAGCCAGCCAGCCAGCTGGAGCCTTAAGACCAACCCAGACCTTGGCCTTCCACTGACTTTGATCGTCAACCCAGCGTCCCAGCAGGTTCCTCCCCTCCCACCTTGACTGTATCGGAAATGCACGGAGAAAGGGGCACCTCCACAGGCGTGCTGATCAGGACACAGGCCCAAGGGATCGGGGCAATAAGGACACTGACCCTGCCTGCCCTACGATTAGGGTCTGGAGCCCCAGGGACAATCCTTACAGAATCCTGGCTCTGTGTCAAAAGCAAGGGCTTCCCCGTCCGGCCAGCGAGCACATGTGCCCAGGTGGGTGGGAGATGCCCAGCAGAGGCCAGGTGCGACCCTTTCACAAACTGCCTGCCTGTCACCTGTCCCTGACTCCTCTCGTTGACGTCATGACCCCCGGAAGCAATCAAACCCAGCCAGAGAAGGAAATCATGGCAACACAGGGCCAAGAATGCTAGGAAAATAAAGGTCAGAAGGTATCCTGGTGGCGTGCCCAAGTTCTAGATCAAGAGGAAGCTCGGATCCGTCAAGAAAAGAGGTGTGGGAGAGCTTCTAGAGGCACAGGGGACAGGGCTACAGCACTTTGCTGCATCTGGTACCCATCAGACAGGAGTTGTCCGTGTAAAGTTGGCCCTCCGACCAGACCCCGCCCCCCAAGAGGCTTTCCCCATCACACATCTCCCTGGGAATGTCAGCACAGGAGAGCAGGTTGGCTGGACCCCCAGGCCTCCCCACCTCCAGACCTCACTAGGAACCTTGCGAGGGCACGCGGAAGGCCCCACTCCTGGGAACATGCTCCCACCAAAGCTCCAAGGAAACCTCTCCCCCAAGTGGAATTTCCAACCAACTCCCAGCTGAGGGCCCCTTTCCCAGCACCAACCTGTCCCTTCCTTCTTGACTGGCCTCACCCACACCTTTGCAATGTTCTGTGGTCACTCCGTTAACCCCTTGCCCAGCACTGGAAAGGGGCTTCTCTGGGGACAGGAACTTTGTCTCTGACCAAATACAGCTCTCACGGCTCTCACCCTCCTCTCACCACTGAGCCTCCGGGTCGCAGGCACCAGGGTGGGCATCTCTGACCAGCACACCCTCATACCCACACCCCCACACACACACCATGAGAACAGTCACCTCCGCAGCCCTCTCCGCTGGGAAAGGCCTGCCTGCAACATGGGGTCTGGGCCTGGAGATGCCTGAGGGTCCTATCTGCCCTGCTCCACTCCGGACCTCAGAGTGCCTGCACCTGGGAGTCCTGCCGGTCTAGGGTGTGTGAGCAACCTAATTTTCTTTTCTTGTTGGCCCCAGAAAGCTGGCTTTTCAAAACAGTGGGGAGAAAGGTCAGGTCTTAGAACAGCCTCTTCCGAAAGAGAATCCCCTTGCAGAGGGTTGCAAGGACTGGCTGCAGGACCTCCCGTGAGCCCAGAGCAGCCACCCAGCTTCCTCCTTCTGCCCCTCCTACCTGGAGAGGCACCGTCTCTGGTTTGGGCCCCAGGAAAGGGAAGGCCACACCCTAGAGCAGGGCCAAGCGCCCTGGGAAACCCACACTGGGGGAGGGGAAGAAGACAGGTGGACAAAAGGCCCAGGGCCAGTCTTGACTGGAATCCCCTGTCCTGGTCAGGAGGCCCTTGGACCACCCACATCTTTCTGAGACCAGCACCCACCTCCCAGGCCTCCCCTCGCCACTCCTTCTGGAGGGACAGGGTACACTGCTGGCCCAGCCAGGCAGTCTGGCTCACCACCGGCAACACAGCAGGCCAGGATGGCAGGAATAGGGGAGCGGCACATAGCATGAAAGATCTCTCTCTCTCTCTCTCTCTCTCTCTCTCTCTCTCTCTCACACACACACACACACACACACACACACACACACGCCACCAGCTCCCTCCTGGAGCACCTGCTCTGGACAGCCTTGCCTGGGACTCCCAGTCAGCACTTGCAAACACCCTCTCTTCCTCACCTCCACTCCCAGAATGCTCTCTCTCCACCCACCTCCCAGGCAGTCGAGGCGCCACGTAGCATGAAAGGGCGTGAGGGTTGGGAATTCTGGGTGGGAATGAGGCTGCCTAGGGTCAGAGTTATCAGGCAGCCCCCCCCTCCCTGCCCCTGGGGAAGGGGGCTTACAGGATGAGTAGTGGTCTTGGTTCAGATCTGGTTTTGCCATCACCCCTCTCTCCTCCATTGCCCAAGGAAGCAAACTTTGGCCTCCTTCCCTTTCTTCCCACCAGCTAGCTACAGGGTTCCTGGCCCCTAGGGGTGAGGAAGGCAAGCAGTGCGCAGGGCTCACAGCCCCTCCACTCTTGCCTACCCATTGGCCGGGCCTGGGCCACAGGGAGGGCAAAGGGTGAGCAGAAACTTGAAAAGTCTTCCAGGGATCAGAGCTGCGGAAAGGGGTTCAGGGTGCTGGAAATGGAGTGCATTTTCTAGAGGTTGACTGGCAGGGGGGGGGGGGTGGCTGCCAGCGCCCCCCACACACACAAGTCCAATGAGGAGCTCCTGGAGAAACCCATGGGCTCCCCCACAATCCATTCTGGGAGCCTGGAAAAGGGGGACCCTGGGTTTCTCTCCCCATAGTGAGCGTTTCTCCTCCCTCCTCTCTTCCAGATCAAGAGTTGGGGGCCCGGTAATGTGTGGGTTTGGGGTGGTTGTTTTTTTTTTCTGAAGTTGCCGCAATTTGAACCCATTATTTTGAGGGAAATGAGTACATCATTGTGTGAAGGAAGAGAGAGAGAGAGAGAGAGAGAGAGAGAGAGAGAGAGAGAGAGAGAGAGAGAGAGAGAGGGAGAGAGAGAGGGAGAGAGAGAGATTGGATGCCTTGGGTGTTCTAAGTCTCCTTCTTAATCCCCGCCAGTAACCAACCAGACAGCCAAGGCTCGCGCCCGGCCCCGGCTGGGCGGGCAGCGCCTGGCCAGCTCGCTCCGCGGCGCGCTCTCCCGCCGGTCGCCCCGCCAGGCGCCCCGCACGTCCCCTGCGTCCCCGGCTGCTCGCGGGCACCCGAACGCGCCGCCCGCCCGGGAGGCCCCCTAGCTTCCGCGGACCCGCTCGCCGCCCTCGCCGCTCGAAGGTACTCACCTAGAAAGAAGAGGAGGCAGAAGGCGTTTGCCAAGATCATGTTAGATAAATCCCACAGTTTTGTGTTTTTGTCTTTTTTCCCTTGGGTAAAAAAAATAATAAAATAAAAATGACAATACTATAGCCCAGCAGCGATCATCAGCCCCGAATCCAAGGCGGCGATCCCAGCGAGTCCACCCGGTGGAGCGATCCGGGGTCCTGCGATCCTCGCCCCAGGCCGGAGGGGGTGGAGACGGGGGGCGGCGGGCCCTCCGGACGCCCCTCGCCCGCTAGGATGGACACACAGGTGTGTCTGTGGGTGCCGCTCCCCAGCCGACAGCGGTCCTGCGCTCAGCCGGCCCGGGTCCCCGCGGTCCGATGCCCGGGCTCCTCCGGAGGGGCCTGGGGAGGCGGGGGAGAGGCGGCGGGAGAGCGGGCGGTGGGAAGGCAGCGACGAGGGCGGGGGTCAGAATAAAACGCAAACAGGAGAGCAATCCACAGACGTGGGGAAGCGCCAGGGAGCGATCCAGCGGGAGCTTGGAGGGCGCAGAGACCCGAGTCGCTTCTTTAGCTCCAGACGAGGGAAATGTTCAAAAAAACCACCTTCTCCCGCTGCCCCTCGGTCGGCTCACTTTTCTCCTAATGGAATGCCGGCGCCCGAGCCTCGGCGTGCGCCCGCCTTCCTCCCTTCCCTCCCGCTCCGCTCGGGCTCTGGCTCTCGCTCGCTCGCTCGCCTCTCCCTCCTCTCCTCCCTCCCTCCCCCTCTCTCCCGCTCCTCCCTCCGCCCGCCCCCTTCCCCCTTCGCGGCTCCCTCGCCGCGGCTCTCTCGCCCGCGCCCCTCTCCTCCGCCCCGGGCTCGGGGCTCGGGCTCCCGGGCGGCCGGCGGCGCGGGGCGCGGGCGCGCGGCGGAGCAGCCACCCTCTGCGGCGGCGGCGGCGCCGGGAACGCGGGCCAAGAGGAGAGCTCGGCCCCCTGCCCTGCCTCGGACTGACCTGCCGCCCGAGCCGGAAACTGACCGGCTCCGAGCTGCGGTGCAAACCCCCACCACCACCTCCGCGCCCGTGCCCCCGCGCGCCCCACCCCACGCCTCTGGGGCAGGCTTCGCCCTCCAACCCCCGGGGCTCCTGCCCCGCCCACTCGGCCACCGGTCCCGGACGCGCGGGGAGGGAGAGTGTAGGAGGAGGGCGCGGAGTTCAGGGCACCCGAGCCCCCCAGGGGCTGGGGGAGGGGCGCTAGGGAAAGCCCATCCTCGGGGCCTGGGTCTGGGGAAGAGGCTGCGCCCTCGGCGGGCGGATGCGTCCTTGGCCAGGGAACCGAAACCAGGCGTCTCCCCGAAGGCGCCGGAAAGGAAAAGAAGGCCCCCCCCGCCCCCCTAGAGCGCCAACCGCGATCTAGCCCCTCGCATGCACACTCGTGTGATCCCCACGCGGAGCTCGAGAACTTTCCCCGCCTGCCCGCAGCGCGCTCGCCCCTCGCACACTCATCGCCGCAGCCCTTGGAGACCCTTCCCCCGTGTCTCTCCTCCCCGGCGCGGGCGGAAGGCTGCTGCGCCCAGGCGCCCTCGCTCTGGCCTCCGAGGCCGACGAACCTGCCCGAGCCGCGCCGAGGAGGTCAGGCGAGGACTGGCACCCCACCCCGGCCGGCCGGAGCGCCCCGAGGCCGCCCCGGCCAGGACTCGGCGCCAGGCTCGCTGCCCGCGCTCGGCGGCTGGCGGGCTGGGTTGTAGGTATAGCTCTCTCCCGAGGCAGCCGGCAGCTCCCCGCTTCCGAGGTTCCGGGTGGGGTCCCCTTCCCCGAGCCGTGAAGGGTGCGATTGATCCATCTGTGGATGGGCCGGGCTTACCGGCGTGTTTTAGGCACAGAATTTACAACAAACGCGCAGAAACGCCAAAAAGGAAGCGTCGGGCTGGGAAAGGGCTGGAGGAGAGATGGGCGATTGCAGACACGTTCTGGCAGGAAGGGCGAGGCGGCGGAGGCACGCGGCCGCGCACGCCGGGCACCCCGATTCCCGTTCCCTCCGGACACATCCTCAACGAGGTGGGCGCCGCCTGCATCCCTGGGCCCCGGCGCACGCATGCCTCCGTGCAGCCCCGCGCGCGCCCCGTGTGCGGCGGTGGGGTACGCGCAGTGCCTCGTAAACTTTCCGCCTTACCCAAAATGGGATCTGAGCTCGATCCAGGGTGCAGTTTGGCGGTACCTTTTAGGATGCATTTTTTAAATGAGCAAGAGTAAGTGCTAGAAATCGATCTGGCCGCGAAGGGAGGGGTCGCTCACAAAACCAGCAGCCTCCGCTAGTGGGAAAGCTAGAGGGAGCAACTTCCATCTTGCGGATTGGCGGGAGCGCGGCTTCCCCGGCCCGGGGAGCTCCTGGCGCAGGTCCCTCCCAGCGCCTCTTCCCGCTGGGCGCGCCCTGGGGCGTCGGCTCTCGCTCTCCTTGGTCCCGGGCCATTGAAAGGTGTCCTGGAGGCGCGGTCCCAGCCTGTTCCTGTTGGACCTGCCAAGAGAGGATTGGGGAGTGGAGCTGGGGAGAGCCCCGTTCCGGCAGCCCTCCTGTTATTCCTCTCAGGTTCTAGGAAATGAGTTTACATCTGCCAGGGTCTCCCCGCTTCTTCCCAAACATTAGGTAACCTAAGGAACCGGCTTCAGAAAATTCAGGAAAGTGTGGGCTAAAGGATTCACACAGCAGGAATCACACTGCTGAGTAGTCATGGACCAGGCTGGGAGCCTGTCCTATAGGCAGTTTCTCCCTCCCCTCCCCTGCTTCTGGGACCTTCCGATGGCCCAGATGTCCCCCACCACCCCCACATTTTGTAACCCAGGCAGCTCTTCCCTCTTCTAGGGGCCTAGTCCAAAGGTACTGCTCAGCATATCTCTCTCCCTCCTCCAAAACCGTTTTTAAATGTCGTTTAATCCTCACTGGGCATAAGGAGGAAAACCCTCTGAGACACCTGGGAGCTTTGCCCTGTTCCCACCCCTTTCCCGTGAAGAGGCTGAAGAAGCAACAAGGGAACCCCAGGGGTGGCTCCCACTAATTCCTCCTGGTGGGGGAGAGGCTGGCAGCAGGCAGTGACTGGCTGACGCCCTTCAGGGACTCGGGGTCACCCAGGCATCCCAAGCAGACCAACATTCATCCTGTTGTGGGCAACACCAACCAGACCAACATTCATCCTGTTGTGGCTCTGGAGCACTCTGCCCTTGGGCCCTGTCTTTCCTCCTGTCCACACAAGCTCCTCCCACTTTACCTTCCTGTACCAACCCGACCCCTCAGCCTGAGCTGCCCTGAGACATGGCAGAGTCCAAATGTCACATAGATATTTTCTGAGCATCCGGTACATGTAAGCGCCCCCTCCCCCAGCCTCATCCCGCTCCTATCCCACCCCTTACCCCACCTCCACCCCCGTGCCAGGATCTGCAGAAGAATCACAGATGAACACCTACTAGTCATAAGGAACTTAATCTCGCTGACTCCATTGTCTAGGCTATAAAATGGGGATTTTAAAAACACCCAACCTTGCAGAGATTAGATGAGATATGGTACACAGCAACTAATCAAACACCTGGTTCCCCTGAATCCAGAACAATTCGGAACCCATGATAAAGCATAAAACCTAAGTGACAACCACCAAGAGGCAGAGAGGAAAAAGCTATAGGAGTTCGAGGGAAATGGAGACTTCTTGGTAGAGGATCAAGCCTAAGAGACCTTGCAAGAGGGAGTCATGGGAGAAAGGAGGGCCAGCAGGTGTGAACAAAAGCGCTAGGCTCCCTGACACACGTTCCAGACCCTCAGATACTGTATCCTTCACACACCACCATCCAGGGCCCTTCCCCGCTGTTCCTGAGCTCACCAGCAGGGGAGCCTCAAGTCCACCCAAGACAGCCCTTCCCCACCGCAGCTCCAGAAGTGTCATGTGCAGGAGCAGGAACAGGACAGGCGGGGCTTTCATTTCTTTCCTTTCCTTCCTCTCTCTAGGCCTGCCTACCCATCTTATCTTGTGGGATGGGCTCTCTGGAGAGCAAGAGCGGTAGGGAAGTGGAGAGATGGAAGAAGGACTAATCGGAGAGAGGGCTGAGCCTAGCCCGGTTTGCACACACATGCATGCATTAGCTGCAGAGCTCACTGACCAGACTTGTGCTGCTTCCCGCACATCTCATCTCTTCCCTTTCTTTGGTGGAGGGAGGGCTGACTTGGATCTAGAGACTAAAATAAAACAACAACCACCAGGAGTAAAAAGAAGAAGGTGCCAACTAAGACGTGTCGGGAACCATGGACCTGGCAAGCGGCGATGCCATAGGACAGCAGCTGACCCAGGCCCTTCCCCAGTCAATTAACAGACACGAACTTATCGACCCCTTCTCTGCCCCCAGCACTGTACCAGGTCTGTGGGGAATGCACCCTCCATGGAAGCATGACCAGATAGAACTGGATCAGGTACCCATGAAAAAAAGAGTGACCAACCCCAGGGCACACTGGGGCTGAGTGAAAGGTAGAGTTAGTGCCACTGGGTTTTGTGAGGGCTTGCAGGAGAGGCAAGATCCGAGCTGGGCCAGGCTGAGCACTGAGGAGTGCAGTCTGGGAAGGAGGCAGCATAAACAAGCACACAGGGGTAAGAAAGGTTTGAGTTGGGAGGAGCCAAGCACACCGGTGGGCGGGGCTTGGAGTGAGAGGGTCTGGAAGGCCCAACTGGGATGTACAGTGGAGGACAAGCATTGCAGGCTTCGCGCTTGGTCCCCTAGGAGCCACGGAAGGTTTTTGAGCAGACAAGTGACATGACAAGAATGGTGTTCCAGGAAGATCGATCTGACAACTCTGTGAAGGATGGAGACAAGGGACCCGTTAGGAGGCGATTGTACCGGTCCTGGCCGAGGGCAATGAGGGCCCCACACAGGACATGCTGGGCACGGACGGAAGAGGTGGTTGTCAGGGGCACTGTAACGATGGATCTTCAAGATGCTGGTGACAGATGCCACACTGAGGACAGGGAGGGGGAGGTGATGGCAAGGGCACAGCAACCAACCCATACCTCTCAGGCTTTGTCATGGGAAAAAATAAAGTGGCCAGCTTTATGGCAAGATAAATGTTGATGTTCCTTTAATTCTTACAATAACTCCATGGGGCCGGTACTATTCATAGCCCTACTTACAAATGAGAAAGCTGAAGCAAGAAAAGTGATTTAAGTTGCCCGAGGTCATATTTTAAGTGGCTGAATCAGAATTCGAACTCTGGCAGTTGGGATCCAGGGTCCCACCTGGGCTGAATAAATAAGCAACACGAAGGCTCTCTGGTCTATAAATTTTCATGTCCCAGTTCAGAATACCTTAAATCCTCTCTCCCTCCCCTGTAAAGCAGCCCTGTAAAGAAACCAAGAGCACTGAAATTTCTTTTCATCTGTCCTGTGGGCCTGATTGGGCCTAATCCTTGGAGGTCAAGTCTGGAGCCCTGAAAAGGTCCTGTCTGGCATGGCACAAGCTCCACGGTACCCAGCTCACTACGGCGTTTCCCAGTCCGGGGCCAGCCCCTGCCTCTCTCCCAATGGCGGGCTGATTCTCTCTTCCCGTGGCCACTCCAGATGCCCCAGGCCCAGCCTGGCTGGCGTGGACACCGCAGTGATTTAACTGAACCATCTGATTCCCAAGGAGTGAGCAGAGCTGTGGGCAAGGTGGGTGGGACTGGCCTGGTGAGGAGGGAAGAAATGCATGCCTAGCACTCAGGACATTGATTCCTCTAATTGATTTCAGTCGA